TTAACGTCGTGCTTGTTGGGATAAGAAAGGGAGGTTTGGGATAAGACCAGAGAGGTTTGGGTGATACCAAGGAGGTTTGGGGTAAGACCGGAGAGGTTTGGGTGATACCGGGGAGGTTTGGGGTAAGATCGGGAGTTTTGGAATAGGACCGAGGAGGTTTGGGGTGATACAGGGGAGGTTTTGGGTAAGACCGGAGAGGTTTGGGTGATACCGGGGAGGTTTGGGGTAAGACCGGAGAGGTTTGGGTGATACTGGGGAGGTTTGGGGTAAGATCGGGGAGGTTTGGAATAGGACTGAGGAGGTTTTGGGTGATACAGGGGAGGTTTTGGGTAAGAAAGGGGTGGTTTAATGTGAGACTGGGTTGGTTTGATGTGAGACCAGGGAGGTTTGGCATAAGACCGTGTATTTTTGCATGAGACAGGGTTGTTTGGCATGAGACCAGGGTTTGGGGTGAGACAGGAGAGGCTTGGGCTGAGACCGGGGAGGCCGGGGAGTTTGCAGGCATGAGATTGGCAAGATTTAGGGTGAGACTGGGTGGTGTGATATGATGGAGGTCTAGCTTGCCATGATGAAGGTCTGATGTGATATGATGGAGGTCTAGCTTGCCATGATGATGGTCTGATGTGATATCATGATGGTCTAGCTTGACATGAATGTTGTGATATCATGGAGACCTAGCTTGACATATATGTTGTGATATCATGGAGGCCTAGCTTGACATGATGAAGGTCAGATGTGATATCATGGAGGCCTAGCTTGACATGAATGATGTGATATCCTGGAGGCCTAGCTTGACATGATGAAGGTCAGATGTGATATCATGGAGGCCTAGCTTGACATGAATGATGTGATATCCTGGAGGCCTAGCTTGGCATGATGAAGATCTGATGTGACATCATGGCTGTCAAGTGTATTGCAATGGAGATCTATTTTAAATGATGATGGTTACGGGGACATCATGAACTCTAATGTGACACCATGAGATCTAATGTGACACCACACAGATTTAATGTGATGCCATGGGGGTTTGATATGACACTCTGAGTTGTAGTCATAAAACTCAATTAGCTTCTAAAGCACATTAGTTTAGAAACTCATTAGTAAAGAAACCTCACCAATCCAGAAACCTCACCAATCCAGAAACTTCACCAGTACAGAATCCTCACCGGTCCAGAAACTTCACCAATCCAGAAACCTCACCAATCCAGAAACCTCACCAGTCCAGGGACCTCACCTATCCAAGAACCTCATCAATCCAGAAACCTCACCAATCCAGGAACCTCACCAGTCTAGGGACCTCACCTATCCAAAAACCTCACCAATCCAGAAACCTCACCATTCCAGGAGCCTCACCTGTCCAAAAACCTCACCAGTCCAGAAACTTCACCAATCCAGGAACCTCACCAGTCTAGGGACCTCACCTATCCAAAATCCTCACCAATCCAGAAACCTCACCAGTCCAGGGACCTCACCTATCCAAGAACCTCACCAATCCAGAAACCTTCTGGAGTACTATTATTTCGTCGGTTTGTTTGTAACTAAATATTCATCATTATATACCCATGAATTGGTGATCCAGAAATTTGTTAATTTATGCAATATAACTGAAAATAGATTAACAGTGTCCAAGATATCAGGGTTCCACTGTATTAGATGACCTCTCCACTTATTTTGAAAACCGAGATTTTTGTAACGACATTCTTAATGACCTTAATATCTAGGAGGATAAAACAAATATTGCTCCTGAGAAAAAAATTAATAGAATGTCTCAAGTTTCAAGTTGTTCATTTCGGTAATGACGATAATTATGTCCCTAATAGCATTATTAATTAGTCTGTATTTTTGTACAATAAATTGTCTGAATTCTGACTTGGGGTTTTGAAGTATGCCAGCCTCGGGACAAGGAACATCGTGTGATATCTGAGTCATCACAATATACATATCCCAATACTTCATCTTTCTTAAGTGACGTTTCACCCTGCTTGGCTAACCAACAGGAGGCTGTTGATGCATAGACCATGCTATGTGATAAGTATTATAGAATAAAATGCTGCGTTATATTTCTTGATGGGTGGTAACTAGTTATTTCTGCTAAACTTTGCCAATATACACAAAGAACTTAATTAAGCACCCCCTGACATATCTCACGATTGAATGAGCCCCGATCGTAGCCCTTTGGAGTATATTTGGGACATGATTGTCGTCGTGTGCAACAAAGGGATCCTCCTGTACAGAACCTGGCCCAATTGGAAGCTGCTTTACACGAGGAATGGCGTAGACTGGCCCTTCAGAAGATCAGGAGGCTGACGGGGGGTTTGAGGAGAGAGAGTGCTGGCTGTCATACAGTCACACGGAGGTTACACTCGGTATTGACCTTGAATCGTGTAAGATAAGCAAAATGACATTTTGAATATTCACATTCACCAATAAATTCAAAATTAAACATTCCAGGGCCATATTTGTACAAACATGGTTTTGTATAAAAATCAGTGTTTTTTTTTTTTTAAATGAGCAATTATCATCATAAAATCAACATGGATTCCAATCATTTTGTCGTTTTTTAGTCAAAAGATCATACGGGTCAGAAAAACTCATGTTTTTCCATTGTGGTCACCATGATAAGTTATATGTACGTGTTGAAAACCTATCATTGCAAAAATACAGGTGTGCTTCATTTGAGCTTGTCTCATGGTCTGTTGTCCTTTACACGTCTCATGAAGCAACATGTATAGTAGCCAAGCTGGTATAGATCATCCCTACCTGTGAAGGTCCCAGTTAGAAATGGTCTTCAGCAACCTATGGTTGTCGTCAGGATCACATGGTCAGGCTTGCTGACCTGGTTGTCCTATCCTACTGCATGTATTGATGCTCATGATGTTGATCACTGGATTGTCTGCTCCAGATTCAATTGTTTACAGATCAAAGCCATGTAGGTGGATATTGCTGATTGCAACGTTAAAATGAAATAACAAATATGTATGTATGTATTTGTTTAACAATACAAATTAGTAGTTACAGATTTCTGGTATAATCTTAAGCATATCTGCCTTTGAAACTATTTGTGTTATTTGTGCCTATTATTAATATTTTTTCCATGCAACATTGTTATTTAACACATGTTATATATGGGATTACACTTTCTTACATTGTTATCCCTGATCACAAAGTGGGAAGGCGATATCGGAATGGGTGCTGCCAACTGTCTTTACATTCAACATGTTTTGCTTCCCGAAAATAAATCACAGATGGTAGCAGTGGTTGTTATAAAGTTTTACCCTGATGTTGTTTTCGCATATGAAATAGTTTTGGTGTTTCAATATCCATTGGACACAATATGATAGATCCGCAGATCCATGAGTTCTAATCCTGACTCTTCTCCTACTTCAGATGTGTTCCATGGCAGCAATGAGGTCCTCAGTACTATAGTTTGGCATGAAATGCATGTGGACCCGTTTTTTTGTAAATATCTCTTCATCCAATGACCTAGACTAACAACTAGTCTCTGAAATGAACATATTTTACTGAAAAAAAGTTCATAGTAAAAAAAAGAAAAATATAATGAAAAGGAGCCCTGAGACTTTCTTCATTGTGCTGAGGAAATCTAGACTTGCCACATTTTCTAGACTTGTGTGGCCTTTCTTGGATATATTTGCTTCAGGGTCTGTTACTACGAGAGACTACCAATGACCCAATCGATCTCAAACTGTGCAAGTGGATGTTTTGTCAGACAACCTAATCACATTGTAAATCACCGATTTTATGCATTTGTATGAAAGAATCTGTCTATGTAACTGTCAACAAAATAAACAGCAGAACGCAGAATGCTTGCAGAGGGAGGGAGCCAATGACCTGTAACAGCGGCAGTGTTGGGTCATAAAGGTCAATGCACGTGAGTTACCTGTGCACTGCACAGTGATAGACCGTTTGGATCATTCACATTGACTACTTCTAGCTGTCATCATGAAAGCTTATTCAGATGATGCTAAACGTTTAATTAGAAATGTGTTGAATTTTTAAAAACAAGAGAGCAAACCGATTTATAAGGTGTCGGATTACATGAAACGTACAGCTTTTGCTCTTGGCATGAAAAAGAACATCGTGCTAAAAATTGTGAAAAATAAACCAACAGCCAATAAACAACACCTTGTACAAAAAGGTAGGCATCGAAAGTTAGATTCTTTTGACATCAGGGTCATCAGAGATGTCATTTGCCGGCTATTTGCAAAATTTAAAGATTTTAACTTACAGAATAATTCTCACTAATGGGTTTTGTGGTTAATGTTGAACAACTCAGAGAAACAAACTCCGTATGATGGTTAACAGTTGGCACCCACCTTACCCTATTCACGACCTGTGACACCTCTTCATACCTGTCACTTGCATAGCTGACCTACATTGACGAACGTTGACCTTTATGACCCAACACTGCCACTGTTACAGGTCATTGGCTCCCTCCCTCTGCAAGCATTCTGCGTTCTGCTGTTTATTTTGTTGACAGTTACATAGACAGATTCTTTCATACAAATGCATAAAATAGGTGATTTACAATGTGATTAGGTTGTCTGACAAAACATCCACTTGCACAGTTTGAGATCGATTGGGTCATTGGTTGAAGAGATATTTTCAAAAACGGGTCCACATGCATTTCATGCCAAACTATAGTTCTGGGTCCACAGATCCATGTGTTCTAATCCTGACACTTGTTCTGTTTCAGATGTGTTCCATGGCAGCAATGAGACACTCAGTACTAGTTCTGGGTCCGCAGATCCATGTGTTCTAATCCTGACACTTGTTCTGTTTCAGATGTTCCATTCCATACTAGGCAGCAAATGAGACAGATGTGTTCTCAGCAATGATAGTTCTGGGTCCGCAGATCCATGTGTTCTAATCCTGACACTTGTTCTGTTTCAGATGTGTTCCATGGCAGCAATGAGACACTCAGTACTAGTTCTGGGTCCGCAGATCCATGTGTTCTAATCCTGACACTTGTTCTGTTTCAGATGTGTTCCATGGCAGCAATGAGACACTCAGTACTAGTTCTGGGTCCAGCGGATGTCCACTGCCTCCTCGAGGACTCGCAGAAACCGGACTGGACATGTTTCCAGGGGGTGGTTCCGGCTCCCCAGACCTTCTTGGCTGACCGGTGGACACTCATCTCCCTGAAGGCTGTCCACACGACCGGGGCTACTCTGTTTCCCTGATGTTCTAGAACAGCTATAATGTGGTCTATGGTGATTCAAGTACTAGCTTTCTGTCTTCGAAATAAGTAGTCCTTGTCATTTAAGGCTTTAGTGTTTATACCTTGACGCAGTCTCAATGTGTCTTTTGCCAATGTGATGGTAAATCAGTATCTCTGAATTGAAGGATACCTTTGCTTGAATAATGAAATTTAAGAGTGAAACTTGAAGGATCCTTCTCATAACCTAATTTTAAACATTGAACTTATAGGTGGTCTATCGATTCAGTGGTATTCCTGAAAGTCTCAGCCATCCAAAGATTTGCTTTAATGTTAATATTCTTTTGTGGTAACTTTATGGTTTTGACAGAAACTTATCCCATGCTTGTCGTAAGAGGCGACTAACGGGATCGGGTGGTCAGGCTCGCTGACTTGGTTGACAAATGTCATCATATCCAAATTGCGTAGATCGATGGTCATGCTGTTGATCACTGGATTGTCTGGTCCAGGCTTGATTATTTACAGACCGTCGCCATATAGCTGGAATGTTGCTGAGTGTGGCGTACAACTAAACTCACTCACTCACTCACTCACTGAGGTTCATCATCAAGAGAGATACTTCTCTATTTTAGTTGATTTATTTCGATACACGTGTGGATGAGGTATGATTGACCTTCAGTAAGACTGACATTGAAATATGAGGTCAGTTTGACCTTCTGGATGTTGTGTCTAAAACCATCTAACTGCTCACACACAATGTTGCTTCCTCCCTGTTCTCCAGACATCTTGACCTTTACTGAAATCAATACAACTGCACATCAATAGCTAACAGGCAATCGGACATTTGAATTTCAAGAATAAGACATTCTCAAATCAAAATTATTGCAAGTACTTCATAGGAGCTGGAAAATACACATAATATTATGATTGAGGTTGTAACAGCCTGAGCATCTCCAATCCCAACATTTGAATTACTTCGATCTCATCATTGGTGTGGATCACTTGCTTGTCTGATTCCAAACCCATTTAGCCTTGGAGTATTATTATTTTTATTATAGGATATTTCTATAGCGCACATATCCACGCAACTAGTGCATGCTCAAGGCGCTGGTACTTTTTTCCATCGATCATTGGATGTCAATCTCAACGCACATCGTATTATCAATCTCAACTCCCTGGCGAGTATGTAACTCTTGCAGCCATTAGGCACACCGAGTTATTGATGCTTTCTCATCCTTACGGGGTACCCATTCACAGCTGGGTGGACTGGGACACATAGTGACAGTACTTTGTCCAAGTTCACTGCACGTTGCCGTACTAGGTGTTTGCACATATGCGGCCATCATCTGGTCATATACTAACGGATTCATGGGTTCTTTTAAGTGCACTGGTTTGTGTACTGTACACTAGGGGTTGTGACAACACTGAAAGAGTCTGCACACAAAGTTGATTCCAAGGTTTTTACACCCGGTCACAGGTGGGCTCGATCCCGGCACCTCAACCTCGCTGGATCCCTAGCCTGGCTCCTTAGCCAGCTCACCCACCACGCCCTAAGTGTAATAAACTAGCATCTTGTCGCTGAAATGAACATATTTTACAGAAAACTAGAATATTTTCATAAAATATAATAAATAGGAGCCCAAGACTTTTGTGATTTTCAGAACAGTGGTTATCTAGACTTGTGACATATTCTAGACTTTAAAGGGCTGTGTTGGGTATATTTGTTCCAGGGTCTGTATGCCACACTAGATGGTCTGTGACAGTGGGGACTTTATTGTCTTAAAATGCCCAGTGGTTAAAGCGTTCTGTGGTCACACCGAAGGCCTGGGTTCAATTCCCCACATGGATACAGTATGCGAAGCCCATTTCTGGTGTCCCCTACTGTGATGTTGCTGGAATATTGCTAAAACCGACGTAAAACTGAATTGACTCACTAAATTCACTAAAATGGATTAGATGTGTGTTATGATATTGTGAAACCTCATTGTGAAACCTTGTTGGCCTGTTAATGGTGAAACCCCATCTTCTGGATGGTGATGATGGTGCTAACTTTTTCATCTTAGGGACCGTTCATAATTTATGGCTAGGAGGGGGTGATGATGATTTTAAGGGGCGGTCACCCATTTTGTTCTGGCGAGCTAGGGGGTCATCAGTTTTGTACATAAAAATATGTTTAATATTATGCTTAGAAATTATGGGTATGGGAAGTGGGGGTCATTGATTTTGTACATGACATGCAGGGGGGTCACTTATTTTGTACATAAATTTTAGTGGGTGTCATTCACATTGTACATGCTTCTCCATAAAAATCATCATCACCCCCCTAGCCATAAATTATGAACGGTCCCTTAAGGATTGGGCATGGGTGGTGTAAGACGACCCAGTTATCGGTCAAGAAGTCTGTGATGGTGAGTTTGTATCCCGGTAGGCCCTGATTGTGACTCTTGGTTTGCCTGCACCATATCTGTTTTGATGGATTTCACCAGAAAGGTAAATCTCTGGGACCTGCATGGGGTTAGCCTAATGGTTTAAGCCTCCATTTGTCATAATGAAGACCTGGGTTCGATTCCCACATGGGTTATGGGGCCCATTTCTTGTGCCCCCCCACTGTGATATTGCTGGAATATTGCTAAAAGCAGCATAAACGTATACGCGGTCACTCACTTTGGGCTTTTCTCCGTCAATAAGCTGACACTCCGTGATATAACTGGAATTCTGTTTAAAGTGGCAGTAAAACCAACTCACTTAATCTCTTGCTCCCTCTTGCCCACCTGCCCTCCCTGACCCCCTCTCTCACTCACTCACTCACTCGCTCAACCACTCACTCAACCACTCAACCACTCCTGGGGTGGTGGGGTAGCCTAGTGGTGGAGGTGTTCGCTCGTCATGGGTTTGATTCCCCACATGGGCACAATCTGTGAAGCCCATTTCTGGTGTCCCCCCGCTGTGATATTGCTGGAATATTGCTAAAAGTGGTGTAAAACCATTCTCATTCACTCACTTGCTCACTCCTGGTGAAGTTTTGCTGCTCTGCATAGATCTCTAAAGGAAGGGAGGTAACTATTTCACTTGTCATTCAAAAGAACATTATAAATAATGTTTTCTGTTTTTCACTTAAAGAATAATATACTTGTAGATGTTAGTTTGAAGTTGGTCAGAATCACAATTTTCAAGGACATTTAAAGCTAACACTCAAAAAAGCCTCTTTTGTCCTGAAATAAAATCCAAAAATCACTGATACCTCAGAAAATCAATGTAAAAAAGTATAAAAAATGGCCACATCACTTCTACTTTTAAAAGCCTGCATTGATTAGTACTTACTCTCCCGATTTACGTGGAACTGATTCCCTATGTAGATTCCGACTATGAAATGTTAAATGATACCCTATCCTAGTGGCAGAGATAGTCGTAAATATGACAAGCCGTGAAGTACTTTTAAGAAGCACTTAAAGAGATTTATACAGTGATACCTGCTTTGATCAAAGCAGCAATACTTTGTGATAAGCCAGTACTTTTTGTATGCTTCAACCAGTAGTTCTATCAACACGTCCAAACAAAGTACCAAACATAAATCATTTATAGCCAGCATATCCTCAGACTTTATGACCGCTTCTTCAGCAGATCTACAATCAAGAGTATCTACATTTTTGATGGCGTCTTTAAAATCTGTTACGACAAGGACAATTAAACGGCAGGAATCACTTAAACTGACAGACCTAATGCAGAAACTGAGATAAGTTATAAATTATGAATTTAATGACAATCCCATAAAGAAGTATGATGTGTAAAAAAGCCCATCTTGCACTTGACAGGTACGTTCACATGAACGTTTTCTCCTCCGAATTGGTGACATAGCTCTCTCAACACATCACTGTCAACCCATGCCATCTCATCTGTTGTATTATTCAGAAATAGACGTCAGTTCAATTGCGCCGTGCTTATCACGGTGGAGTTTTATTTTCCACAAATGCTATTTGAAATGCAACATTCTCATATCTTCGGACTGATTGAAAGGTCATTAGAAGGAGAAAAAAATGAGTTACTGATGTTAAGTCTTTGATACATTTTGTTTTATGGTACAGGAGGAATTGGCTCTTATGGTCCTGGGAATTGAAATTAACGTCGTTTATTTCAAAATGATTTGTGTCAATTTCATTGAAATTGACGACTATGGGGATTTTGGTTGGGAAATGAGCGATTCTGTGACTTTATGATCATTAAACTCTCTAACTGAACTTGTGAAGAAATGCTCCGTACCTGTCAATATCCTGTAAAATATCGAAATATGTATGTGGGAATATAGTTTCATATTTTACATGCCAGTTTATGGGTTGGTAATGATTTTAATATCAGATGAATTATGTTATGTGAGGCAAATCATGTGAGTCCTTCAGGCAGTTCTTATGCTTTTTCACATAGAAATATTGCTAAGTTCCTCGTACACAGAAAATGACGTAGGCTATATGAACAGGAATGAGGTTCTGATGTGTATAATAGCTTCAACTCCTAAATGGAGACATTTATTGACTTCTCCTAAAGCTGTATCATATGGGTTTAATTTGTGGTTTGTGCATTTGATTTCAAAGTCATTTTTATTTTTATTTTATTTTTATTTTTTTTTAATTTGTTTCTTCTTCAATAATATTAAGCCTTACAGCTTTGTGTCAATAGTTTTCGATTTAGTTATTAATTAAGACACAATCGTGGAGTTAAGGTTGTTATGAGTGAGTGAGTGAGTTAATATTTATCGTCACATTGACAATATTTCAGCCATATCGTGATGATTAGGTTGTTAAGATTAACATCTGATATTCATTGATTTGCTAACATTTTTCTACCCAGAATTCCACTTTCGGGTCTGTGTGAACTGTGATTCCAACTGTTGCTGATCATGTGTCTCAGAACAGGCGATCGATCTGGCTGAGACATCACACATATTTGTCTGTCGGGGTATTTTATGGCTTTAGTATTTCTCTTCCAGTGCATTACTCAAAAACAATTGTTATCAGAGGACTTTTACTGTTTAACATTTTGACATTTTTTTATGTTTATTTTGTTTGAGATGGTCTGACTGTGTTGAAAGATTTAATCAGTTGGTGATGTAGAAATGGAATACTTGTCAAGAAGATACTGTGGTACCTACATGTATCGGTATCTGTAACTCGCTTACAGTATTACTGTGGGTTGGTCAAAATATATTAAATATTTCAGTAGGTTCAGGTGACCTGTGAAGATCCGGGGTAGAATAGGTCTTCAGCAACCCATGCGTACCACAAAAGGTGACTATGCTTGTCGTAAGAGGCCACTAATGGGATCGGGTGGTCAGGCTCGCTGACTTGGTTGACACATGTCATCGGTTCCCAATTGTGCGGATTGATGCTCATGCTGTTGATCACTGGATTGTCTGGTCCAGACTCGATTATTTACAGACCGCCGCCATATAGCTGGAATATTGCTGAGTGCGGCATA